AGGAGGTCAGCGATATACGTTCTGCTGGCTTAGGAGGTATATCCATATGCCCAATTCTTACTTGGTTTAAATTTTCAATTATCATTTTCCATAAACCTTACTGTCTCAAATACTAGCTTAATTTCTTTTTAATAAATATTGTCTATAATTTACTTCATTACAACCACAATGAATAAACAACACGTGTTATTCACAAGTATTACAGGAACTTCCAAACATGTTTGATGACTATGAGTTACTCATCGATACACGAACAGCATGCTGTCATGTGACGTTAAAACAGATGTTTATAAATATGAATGACAGGTCTGAGTGTGTCATTGTAGAAAGAAAAAAACAGGAAACGCAGTTCTGGCTGCAGTAACACTACCTTTGTACCAAAATATTTGGGCAAAAAAAAAAATTCACAGGTCTTTTTTGTGTTTGGTGCTGAAATTAACTCCATATATACACGTTTACAGTGGAGCTGAAATAAAACATATTTATGTCGATTAATGATTAAATCTCCTACAAACAAGGTAAGCAATGTTTCCATCTGCTATTTAAAAAAAACAGTTATGGAGACTTGCTTTTGCTAAATCAAAAAAAAAAAAATGCCCGGCTAGTTTTTAAAACAATTTTATACTCAACTTACTTCCTGTGCCTTGGTTTTTTCCATGTCATTGAATGAAAATCCCCATTGTCTTAGCAGATTTTGTATCTGTTGATGACACACATTTGTTGCCACAGCGTAAACATGTTTCGCACATTTTTAAGTCGTTGGCCCTAAATAGGTACTCGTTGTTAACTGTCAAGAATGGGGTTGCTATGGTAACAACAAACTAGTAGCCTACGCCGGCTCTTAGCCATTTAGCCGGGCAGCTAACGCGAATGATATTCCTGCCGTTTCAATGCAATGACGACGTGAAAGGAGCCTAGGTTTTTACAGTGAGTTGTAACACAATGACAAGGGCTAGGTGCGACAAACAACACATATTTACATTTCTTCATATACTTACCGCTGACCTCCATGCCTTTCCTGCCATCCTGAGTACAACTAGACAAGGTCGACGCTTCCGCAACAGTAATACAATGACTTTCTTCCTTGTTCGTTAGCGTTGGAGTTCTTCTTCGACTTCCGGTTAGCTTCCAGATTATTGGTACATTACGCCCCCTCCGGTAGGGAGTCCAAGTACAAACGGTATGTTAACGGTATAGCGAGAGTAAAAATGAAAATAAAAAGTAATGTGCTGTAAATGTGGCAATAGTTGTGGAAATCTTTTGAGTTTCAGAACCACTCTTGCGGTAGTTGTTACAAAAATACATTGTGTATGACTGCTCTTTTGTTGCTAGGTAACAGCAACTAAATGCTAAATATCAAAAAGGTTTTCAATAAAATCCCTAAGTACTTTATTTTAAAAAGGTCCATAAAGATTCTTTAATTGGAAACCTAAAACAGCTGCAAAGAAGTGCTCTTTAATGTGACTTTCTTTACCACTGGGAGACATCATACACCACTACTAACTTCTAAGGTTCTACTGATGGTTAGTTTACTTCATTTCATAGACACATCTCTGACACATGCTACCTCTTTAGCTAGGAGAGATTTCACACTGAAGACTTTCCATCTAGAAATTACAAACAACACGTTTAACCCTTTGTCAGCATTGTATTTCTTATCAACTCTTATCAAGTGGGTCATACAAACAAACCCTTATACATAAAAAGATGAAAGGATAATTCATCCACTATTTGCAAATGTTTAGTGTAAAACATATGATAATTTAAACAAACAGCTTCAGGACTGCAGAATGGAAAAGAGCTTGAAGGTACTAACAATATATTACAAATTTAAGCAGCATACTAGTTTAAGGATAAAACTAGCTACAACAAAATGCACACTGGTCAAGTCATGACATCTTTGAACAAAACTGAAAGGCATCAGTACAGATTAAAGCTTGCAAAAAACCCACAAGCCTGCACTGTCCAATTACTAATGCATAGGATTTGATAAACTTTCACACTGCAACACAGGGCAAGTTTGTCAGGCAACAACACTTGTCAAGCACTTGGATAAAGCGTACAGTACATTAGTCATAAGATATCATGTTGAAAATTAAAAGGTATTGAAAAAAGTCCAAAATGTTCAACTTAAATGACATACTGCTTTGACTGCTTCTTCAGGCTCATTGATTTCTCAGTTTGTGAAATTACATGAGTGGCTCTGTTATTGAGAAGTCTGCATTCGTGGAGAACATCTGTGGATCATAAACATACACGGAAATATTCTGCTTTAATCTCAAAGTCTTAATACAATGAGGCCAGGCTGACATGCAGGACGGAACAGCTAAAGACAACAACTTACCAGTGAACTGCTTGTAGGCTTCTTCAACAATGGCGTTGTTTGATTTCTTTATCTCCCAGTAATTGTCTTGCACCCATGGCTTGCAATCATTATGTTCAACAATCTGTCCATTCTTGTACATCCCAGCTAAACAATGATAAAGGAATAGATTCTTATATGTATATGACCAAACTTTGCTTTAGAATTTAAAAAAATATGTCAATACCATTTGGAACAGCTGAACATATTTCAGTACTAGCCTACCCTTTATCGTTTCATCAATGTCTTTGCACAACTGGTACAAGTCACTCCCTCGTCCAGCCACTCGTTCACCTGCAATTCAAACAAACAGGTCTGCTGATAATGGTAATAGACTGGAATCAAACACAAACACAGAAATGGGGAAAACCACAGCCATCTTACCATCAAGAGTCTTGAGGTTGGGAAACATTTCCAGAATTATATTTCTGTATACTGTGTTCCTACACACTGACAGAGAGGAAGGCATCGTGAGTCAACACTTTTGAGACTGTATGCACTTTGTAAATAATTGAAAAACAAACCAAATACCTGGATTAGTGTAATTATATGTGTTGTCTTTGAGACGAATATTTTCCAGCTTTCGCAAAGACTGAAGGCAGTGAAGGCTCTCAATGCTTTTGTGGGATTAAAAAACAGGTTAAATTAGTTATATGAAAGGACTTTAAAATATGATTACTAACATCAACGCCAACAATGAAATGAAATATTTCTTTAATGTTGATGTAATTAGTACCTGGATATTATATTTCCAGCCACATTTAAATTCTGTAAGCTGTCACAGCTACGTAGAGGCTCTAAGAATAAAAAAGAAATAATGTTAAATTTATATATACTGTAAATATTAATTGTAGATTGTGTTTACAGTATGTGGTGCATCATGAGATGCAAAACTAAATGGTACCTAAATTAGAAACTCTGTTTGCAGACAGGTTTAGGACAGAAAGAAGTCGCAGAGATGCCAAAGGAGCCAAGTTTGTAATATTGTTCCCAGAAAGATCCAGTCTCTCCAGGTTTATACACTCCCCGATGCAACCGAGGTCTTGTATTCCTGACAAATAAAATACAGACTATTTAAGTGATTACACCTTTTTCTACAATAAGTGATTAAGTAGTAAAAAATGTATTTTACCAAGGTTTCTCAGTTTAAGGAATAGTATTGACTCCAAGTCAAATTCTCCAGATCGTGACTTGAGCAGAGCTGCAGTAACCTTCTCATACTCTGCATCTGCAGCAGGGAGAAGCACACACATCTATTCTGGTACATACACAACAATGACTGAATCCTAACTGGTTAGTCAGCAGAATGTTGCTCGCCTCAGGTGTTTCTATCTAGAACAGCAAAATAAATCAGCGTCCTTGACTTCATTTCAGTAATGACATTGTCTGGCATTTTACACTAATTTAAATGTGGTACAATTTTAAATAAAACAGGTTAATATAAACAGTAGACCGTTAATTTACATAGATCAAGAAGTATTCAGGTAATGTACACATTTATAAAGTACAATTCCATTTAGGGAGAAGTACAATGATAACTTATTTTAGCCAATGTCAAAATAAAAATAATTTAAAAAAGCAGACCGGTGTATAACATTACGAATAGCAACCAAAATTACGTCAAACCCAAAAGAACAGTCTTTGGATTGGGTCAGTAACTAACTACACTATAAAAGGTTATGGTTGATAGCAACCAGCATATTAGCTTTGTTTATTAGTAACGTGATTTCAAGACGAACAAAAACAGAATAAAACACCTAGTGGTTATTTAAATAATATAAGTAACGAATTATTTACTGATCCAACGATGACATGTTTAAAACAGTAAGATAGCAGTAGGTTATTGGTTGAGCTTCGGGGGTTAGCACAAGCTGCTACTGGCTTAGCACAGCATCCTAGCAACAAGCTCGACATCACAACATACTGTACCTTGTTCTCTCTCTCGCTTCGACTCCATCATGTGCAACACTTTCTGCCTCTGCAAAAAAATCAAACATCCTTTTCGTCAGTGCAGCCAAAAAAATAAATAAATAAAATCCGAATCAATGGTTGGTGTGGAGATGGAGTGAAACTTACATCTGTCCCGGTACAGTCAGGACTGTACAGTGATGATGCTGCAGGTGGCTATAAACCCACCAACAGAGGGCGCAATATAGTCATGAAAATATGTCTCGTATTTTCAAACGCTTTTATAAATGAGCGACGATTTTTGACAGGCCACGTATTTTGCAAGTGTCAAGTCTATTTCACAGAACACCACATTTAAAACCTTTAAATTGAAATAAAAAAAAGCTTATTGTGTCAGATACAAGAACCTAAATCACCGTTTTACAGAAACATTAATGAAAACAAAAAAGGGAATTTAAAAAGTGAAACTTGGGTTGTTTCATTCATTGATTACACAACACAACTAATACAGAATGAAAAAAAAAAGATATTTCTTTATTAAACCTAACTTTTATTTTATCAAATGCCTTCATTGACTTGTGACTCCAGTCAACAACACCATTGAGCATCTGATAGAGTCCTCCTCCTTCTCCTCCTGCTGCTGCTCCTCCTACTGCTCATCCCCCTCCTCCTCCTCCTGAGCAGAGGCTCAGCCGTCAGCAGCAGCAGCAGCAGTCGCAGCTCCCACAAACTATCTTAACTGGACACCTGTCTATTCAATTTTTCACATCCTCTATCGTTTTTCAGTCAGAAGTTGGCGTCATTTTCTAGGGAAGCAGTCCAGTTGGACTCTGCAGTAGCTTGTTGTGTGCGTGTGTGTGTGTGTATATGTGTGTGTGCGTGGGGGGACACTTGACATCCTCTCAATGTCTTTCATTGAGAAAAGGCTCTGGACGTTTGGTGTCGTCAATGTCTTTGAGCAACAGAAGACCTGATTAAGATGGGTAACAAACAAACAATATTCACTGATGAGCAACTTGATGCCTACCAGGTAGGTTTATTATAATAATAATAATAATAATAATAATAATAATAATGAAATGTGTTATATCATTATTGTTATTATTTCTAATGATGATAAACTTACATCTATTGATGTCATATACCAGTACAAACCTATATTTAAGCACATTTGACGAACAAAGAAATTAGAAGATGTTTGCACAAGAATGTGTGAATATGATTATAATTTCTCATCTGAAACAAGTATTATCCTAACAAAAAAAGTTGCCAAGGATTGGATCCACTAATGGTTATGTAAGGGTATTGCAGAGGGTTCTGAAATTTTAGGTTGATAAGAATTGTTTTCATATATTACTTGTGGCTAATACATTTTAATTTTAGTATCTGTAGGCCTTGGCCTCCCCCCGAGGATAGGGGAATTTTTGAGAAATATTTTAATAGCACATCGTCTTGAGCACAGGTTTACCATGTGATAAGGTGTGGACTTAATAATTGATGCTGAGCCAGTGCGATATGCGGTGAAACTCTACTCTCAGGAGACAGTTCACATCTTAAGAGGAGCTCTAGTTTCCCCCTGATGGCTTACTTTTCCTTGCAAAAATGCTGATGCTATCGGCCTGAGCTATGGCACCTTCTCTAACCTCACTATTTGTTTTAGCATCTCTACACCAGACATATCACTTAACATTGTTAACTGATAGGTATATTTGCTGCATCCTGAAGTACAGTATAAAAAGATTACCGTTACTGTTGACCTGGTAGACATAGGACGACTTTACACATTTACACACAGGCATGAGTGTTTCTGACCTGAGTGCTGGTCCACAGACAGCTATTAATAACACTGTTTGTGATGCTCTGCTGCCTCTGCTCCTCATGCTCGAGACCGCAGCTCAGCAGAGCGGATACAAGGGCAAAGTGCTGTCTCCAGGGCTGTTAGATAATGCCCTGGAGATAGCACCTCCAGGGCATTAGGTAAGTGCCAGTACATGCATGTCAGACAACAGCGGCTCATGTTTCCCTGCATCATTATTCCTATTTTAAAGTGGCAGATGACAACACTCATCCAAAGAGTAACCGTACACCTAACACTAATAATATTTTACGGGAATAATATAATCATTGATCGTTTCCTTTCTCATGAGTCACACGTGTGTTTTGTTCTCATTGACAGGACTGTACCTTCTTCACCCGCAAAGAAATTCTGCGGTAGGTTTCATATACCAGAGCACCAGCTCTATATTTCCTAAAATCATGAAGTAAAAAATACCCTTAAGGTAAAATTGGGGAAATGTCATTTTTTGTATGTTACTATTAAGGGGAAGTGCAAAGTATTTTGAGCTCCTAGTTATCTTCTGGTCTGTTCTGTTGTATTTTAGATTTAGCTCCACGCTACAGTATCTTCTAGTGTTATGGTTAGCAATTTTTGGCTAATAGGACATACCTTAAACTATTTATATATTTTCTCGCTTCTCATTCTTCTTTTTAAGTTCTCAGCTATTTATCATTTTTTAAATAATTTTTTTCAAAAAGGTGTTTGAAGACCATGTTGTTTTTGTTGTTTTTGTAGTTTTGTTTGGTTATCTTCTTCGAGCTAATGTTTGTTTTGGCTAACTCTCCTCTATTTTTGGCTGTAAGATAGAATATATACGTTATTATTGGTAGGTTATAGCCTACCAATAATAACGTATCTATTTTTAATTAACATTGAAAACAGTTCATATTAAATGACAGAAGTTAGACAATCCCTACCTTTTGTTAAATGTATATTTACTGTAGCACTCTAGGTATTTCAGAAGCTAACTGATGAGCTGTGTAGAGAATACTCTTCTCTAGTCCACTTCGTTATCATTGTTCCTCTTTTTTATTTGTCCTCTTAAACCTACTAACTGCAGCAGTATCTGCATGTTACATCTGTGTGTAGGCTACGACATCCTCTGAATGTTCTTTTTAACCTTTTGTCTGTGGTGCTCTGTACAACAGTGAGGTGTCACATTTCCACCTGTGTTTCCACATGTGCATGTCCTGCACAAATATTATTGTACCGTATCATTATTCATGTCTGTCCTCTCTCTCTGCCCTTCTCTTTACTGGATGATAAACAAAAATTAAACCAAAAATTTGATTTTTCCTTTAATGGAATTGACCACTGATGCTCATGTTTCAGCATCATTTGCCCAGGGCCTCAGATGTAGGAAGATAAATGGATAGATAGAAGTGTGCTGTGGTGCAGCAGGAAGTTCAGAATAAAGGCTGTGAGATTTCAGATTTGGAGGTTTGTTGGGATTGATTTGTATTCATGTGCAGTTTAAATGTGTTATTTTAAACCCCTTTCTCTCACAATAAGCCTTTTTTTTTGTCTGCCCACGTCTGGGCTTCTTTCTTCCATAATGAACTGAAGTATAAAGAATTAATAACTAGTGGCATCTACTGAGATTTTTTTTTTTTTTGCCAAAGCACTGTATTTATCTCCTCCGTGTCACTGTTCAAACATACTGCATGTTCATGTTCCTCCTCAGTGATATTGAATCGACTTTGATTCCGGCTCTAGCAGAGGGCTGTAGACTAAATTGACAATCAGTTGAGGGCGTAACAGGGTCCTGCTCTTTATGACCCTCATAAAACACCCCCTGTTTCTGTCCTCACTGCAGCTGCTACAGTCCAGTTATGTAACCTCACAGAAACAGGTTATCACCGATGACCATAAGGTCACTGGATTTAGCCCCCAGCCCTCGTCACCACCACAATCAGGCGATTTCACGACTTTCTGCCTCCTTCATACAGTCTTTTTACACTATGCCATTTTTTGTACATCATTCTCTGCGATTGCATTAGACATTTATGTGCTGAGGAGTCAGAAAAGACGTACAGCTCTGTCAAAGGTCACGGTACATGAAAAATTACAGGTTTGCTCTTTCATTTCCTGCAGTGCCCCCGGTGGAACGTCACCACCGTGACAGGATTATCTAATTCATTTGTTGTCAGTTCGTCCTCTAAGATCAATATCCCTGCTGATGAATGGCTCTACTCTGCCAAGAAGGGTGCCAAGTCAAACTAGTTCAACGGACAGAATAAAATGGAGGCTGGAGAATTTGTAGCAGTTTTTACTGACTCACCTAAATCATCCACATGAACTTTATCCTTTAAAGACCAAAAAATAAGACACAGTTTCTGTGTCTTGTCTCTCCCTGTGAATACAGTCAGGCTGTTAGAAAAGGTGAACTATGAGGATGTTCCCTTGATTCATTAGAATTACTCTGCACTGTAGCTGTTCTTGACGTAACTCTAATGTTTGTGTTTGATTAGGAGAAAAGAAGGGGGAAAAAGTAAAAAACACCAGTGGAAAGTTTTTGTGTAGACAGTCACATACCTCTGTTTCACTCCCTTATTGGTGAACTACAAATCCCAGATCTTGTCCAACGTCATCTGTGGGAGAAGGTTAAAGAGATTCCAGTTAGAGCAGTCATTAGAAATAACAATATCATATAAAATCCAATAAATACAACAAAAAGCATCACATAGACTGTATGACTCACAGTTACCAATAAAGTGGATGAAAAGGACAAATACTTATTTTACTGTTAATAAAGTGGATGAAAAGGACAAATACTGTACTGAAATATATATAATAGAATTATTATTTTACTGTCGTTCTTTTTCAGCTTACATGCCAGATACCATGAGTTGGCGCCACATCTTGTACCGATGGACTACACCAATGAACCAGACTGTAAACTGCCATTAGCCTTGATAGTCAACATGCCGGAGTTAAAGGTAAAGAAGCAAAAACAAAACTGTTTTCATAGAAAATCAGTGTGAGTTTGTGTTCACCATTCTAAGTAAACAGCACTGAACCTATGTTTTATTACCATTGACATGTGCCAACTGTGTACATTTGGGTTTAAAGAACTCAAACACACACACAAAACCACACACTCCCGAGGACAGAATTGATTGTTTACAGTCACGACCAATGGTATGACATGTCGTATTAAAACTAATGGGGCTTGAAATTTTCTGCCACTTTGCACTGCTGTATTACACAGTATTTACAGTATATTAAACAAAAAATACCTTTTTAAAAAGAAATCTGGGTTTGTACTAAACATAAAACACTGATGAGACCCCTAATGAAATTGGCAGTAGTGGCCCTCAGCTCATTGGACGCCACAGATCTACAGTCTTAGTGTAAACACACATATATACAAATATATACAGTATATTTGTATACATATATATATATATATATATATACGTGTATATATATATATATGAGCTGAGCTTGGCCTATATTGGATTTGAACATGCTAACTGGTCCAAGGGTAACATCCAGGTCTCCTCTCATGGCCCACACAACTGGATAAGATTATTACACGTGGAACCAAATCGGTTAATGACCTGGGACGTAAAACCGTAAGTGGGAACGGCTGAGCAATAGAGGAGAAAATATTGTCCTCACACACGGTCAAAGAGACAGTGTCAGCTATTTCGGAAAAGCCCTATGATCAGCAAAATACCACTGCAGCTCACATGTAACGGTGGTGATGGTCTGTGTGTATGCTTAGTGAAAGCACTTACGGCCACAGAACTGTCACGTATGCATTCACTTTGCTCCCTTACTCAGAAAACGCCAATACACCACGAGCAATATAAACACAATCAGGATCAAAATGCACCACATTTTTTGGCTAAATCAAAAACATTTTCTTTTTCAAGTAAAAGGCTCAGTGGGTAAAGAGAGAAAACAAGAAGGGCTTTATATTGTAAATATATGCAGGGGCAAAGGGGCAAACTGAATGGCTGCAAAGACCGACGAGGAGGTAAAACTGGCCAATGTGTTCAAAATATTCTAAGTAAACAGAGAATATTAGAATATAGATCATGTTTCCCACAGTGTCATAACTTATTTTCCCTAACGGATTTGACTTGACTTGACTCCTGTTTCACAGGAAAATCCGTTCCGAAACAGGATCGTAGAGTCTTTCTCAGAGGACGGCATGGGGAACCTCAGCTTCAATGAATTTGTGGACATGTTCTCAGTCCTCAGTGAAATGGCTCCAAGAGAACTCAAGGCCATATATGCCTTCAAAATATACGGTATCGCCAAATATCTCACTCGTAACTTATCTTAACTTCCTGTTAAAAACCCATTTTTTTAAGCGTACTTCGTACTTTGTTTCGTCCAGACTATAATGTGGACAATTACCTGTGCAAAGAAGATCTGAAAAAAACACTGAACAAACTGACGAAGGAGGAGCTGACGCCCGAGGAGGTGGACCTGGTGTGTGACAAAACCATCGAGGAGGCAGATTTGGACGGAGACAACAAGCTCTCCTACTCTGACTTTGAGAACATGATCACAAGGGCTCCAGACTTTTTAAGGTAAATAATTGCTCTTGGCATTAAAACCAAAATCATTGACATACTGGGTATAAATCTGTGGAACAGTATTTACAGACTGTTATATTAGTGCAGTGTAGTAGCTGTTCAAATTATATACATATATACATACACACATACAGTATATATATATATATATATATATATATTGCTCTGTGATTGACTGGCTATAAATAAATATGTAGATTTAAATAGATATGTAGACAAGTTCTTACAGGCTGTACCTGTCCAAATACTAATTCTGCTTCCTTGTGTTTTTTTTTTTTTTATTTGCTTATTTACTACAGTACTTTCCACATACGTATCTGAGAGGGCTAAATGGAATATTTCTAAGGTCTCCAAGTTCACTGAACCTGAACCACAGCACAGTGCCTGCCTCTTATCAGTGGTCTCTGGCATCAGGGATGTTCAGTCTAAAAATCCAAAGATTTGGTGAAGCTGAATTCCTAGGAGGCTGGATTTCTCTACCACAGATGAACATGACATTTCCTTCTACCATTAATATAGGGCTCAACCTGGATCGGTCCCCCCTTGTCAGGGGGTAAAGGTAAACTTACAAAATTTAATGTACGTGTCTCGATGGTTTCTGACTGAACAGATCCAAGCACACGTTATTATCTACCTACTGTGTATTGCACACGTCTTCCTACAGTGACACATTAGACATACGCTTCATCTGAATGAAAGCACTTAGTACTGGCGTTAAGGGCACACGGATATTCTATTCAAGCTATGCAATATTTGTACTGTAGTGTTCTCCGCATTGTTTTCGGTTGTTTTTACGCTTGTGGAACATGGGAACATGACGACAATCACATGTTGTGTTCTCTGGTTAAACAAAGGGCTCTGTCATCTGAATCCATTACGATAGCTTTCATCTCCCTCAGCCATTATCTAAAGATGTTAGTTACCGCCATTTTTACATCTACAGTGCAGTATTTATGTATGTCATTTAAGGTGTTGGTCTCACCTCAAATAAATGGTCTTTGTTTTGTTTTTGTTTTTTTTCTCTGCGAGTTGTGTGTGTACTTTGAGCGTTTGTGTGATTAGTTGCCATCTCTGTCAAAAGCAAAGGACTATCCAAACCCCTGGACCGTCGTCTGTCCAGCAGCTTTCCAAAGCTGAGCAGCATTTGGCCCTCATATAACCAGTTCACCTCGTTCCACCCACCCATGATGATGGAGGAGCGTGCACAGTAAAGATGATAAAAAACGAATGACTGCACTGCTGTGGAGCTCATCCCAGGAGCTGTAATGACTTGTTAAGCAGGATGTGATCAAGAGGCAGCTGCCTCAGCATTTACAAGCATGATTACATCCTGCACTCAGGGTTAATCTGTGGAGAAAAGCGGAGGAAACATTCTGGGTTCCGTTGGCTGATGATGAATGAGTGCAGGTGTCCCGGCGTTTTTAGTGTGCATATAAAGAACAGTGTTGTTTCGGAGCTGTACACGCTCTCTGGCACTGGTTGGACTTTCTGTGGCCGATGGAAACAATTCATCATCGTGATTCTGCTGCTGGTTGGTTCTAGGCGTGTGCGTCGGCTGCAAAATATGGTTGATATGGTTAATTAGAAGGACAGATGTACAGTAGGTCTGTCCAATGGATTTAATTAATAATCTAATTAATTAATTAATCCACATAATCACAGTGTAGCAATGGCTTAATCAAAATTAATCATGATTAATCGTACATTTTTTTGACTAATTTAATGGTGGAAATATTATTTTTATTATAAATAGCCGGAGCTTTACACAACCGAATAACAAAAAAACAGTCTAGGAGGGATGGGATGGTTGTCACGGCTACTGTGAAGAGTGGGACAGTGATGTGACAGATGAACTGTTCTGTCCTAAAGGAGGAGAACACTGAAGTGTAAAATCCACAGGACGGCCTGTTAATTCACTCCTTTATCTCCACTTAGCTTTATGAAGGCAGTATCAAGTGTTCACAGCAATCTGGAGTCGATTGTGTGACCTCATTAATTTACTAAGAACATCTGTTCATGATGATTCCAGCACGCAGCCTCTGGCACACTCTGATACTTGGGCTGTTAAGCAGCCATACTGCATCTGTAAGTTAGCGTCTCAGAGATGGAAAGCTGCCTAACAGCGTGGGACCTTCTTGGTGACTCAACATGGGGAATAGGGGGGCTTTTTGAATTTACATTTGAGGTGAATTTAGAAAGATGCATCGACAATATATAAGAAAATAGAAACCTATATGCAGAAGAAGATCATTATGGAAGATTCAGAATATTTTTTGAACTATACTGAACTTTTTAACAGAGGGTCCTGTCAAAAAATGTAGGCAGTGAAAAACTGTAAAAAAAAAGAAAAAGGAAATTATATGAAGAGCAAGAAAGAAAATAATTGATCAGCATTTTACAGTAAGAACTGAAAAATGTACATGCATAATATGTGACACAATTTTCCCCTGCACCTTTTGCTTGTGCCTACAAGTAGGTAGGTTGAAAATAGTTTAACAAGTTTAAATGAACAAAGGTTTTCGGCGCTGAGACGTCTGTGTGGGCGTCACCTGAGGCCCTGTACTTCCCCCATTACCGCCCCGCAGCGACTTCAAATGTGCATGGAAATAAAGTTCACAGCACTGAAGTACAGCACTCCAACCAAGTACTGTATAATATAACAGCATTTCTATGTATGCTGGTGCCAAGTCATTCCAATTCAAGTCAATTTTATTTGGATAGTCTTAAAATTCCACTCGAAGGGCGTTTCGGTTTTGACATGACAATAAACGTCCCTTTGCAAAATACGTCACAAAAAAAGGAAAATATAAAAAATGTCAACATTTTGACAACAATCATTGAATATAGATTACATACTAAGCAAGTAATTTGGTGACAAAAGGGAGAAAAATGTGCTTTTAACAAGAAGAAAAGAGTGTGCAGCCGTCTACCAACCCCTGTGATCCCACATCTAATACACTCCTATTCATACCCACAGTCTATGGTTGATTTATAGTAAACCATTTACATACATGTTTTGGACTATGTGAGGAAACTAGTGTTTTGAGAGGAAATGCAAATGCAGAAAAAACATGCAAACTACATACTGAATTACCC